AATTAATGAAATTAATAAGTAGAATAATTAAAATATTACGCATGACAAGAAAAAATATCTTCATTCCTCTTAATTGGACGAATTTCACTCTACGCGACGATCAATTCAGAGTAAGACACATCACTGTGTGTAACTACTATTCACTCTTCGATTACATTTCCAGCTAAGTAATTTTGTATTATGTATCGTGAATATGATGTAGAATGTCTGCCTTCTTAGTTGGATCCACCTCGATGCTGAATCAGTTATTAGTCGCAAGAAATGAGAAAAGGACCAATGTATAAAACAGAGGCGTGTTATCGCACAATATGCGTTAACTTCTTTTTTTTCTATTTCTTCTGCTTCAGAAGTTTTCCTGTTGGGACACTTCTAATTTATCTGTTCAGACTTTCTTTCGCTCGCGAGAAAATTTTCTATTCATTGTTCAATTAACTTTTCTGACTATTTGCAATTAGGGCTGCCACTTCTTCACTTTTTTGCTAGCTAGCTAATTTATAAATTTATAACAATCAATATAATATATTGTTGCGCCCGAGCGTTTCCGTTCGTGAGTGTCAAACTTTAGCCGAACTGGTCATGATGATGAAGCACGTCAACGGAACATCGATCCTTGATTAAAGGAAATGTCATCGATTATCTTTGCTTGGGTTTCGAAGGAAAGATAGAGTTTGAGAAATAGTCATGCGTTGTGCTCAAATTCTGTATTTTTTTTTTCCTACAGAGCACGAGTACGAAGTACAGAAAGTATATATTCAAGAGACGCACGCAACAATATTTTTAATAACATTTATATCGATCATGAGGATATATTGAGAATATATACATATGCGTATATTGTAATATATGTATATGTGTATATGATATTGTTTAACGTGTTGTTTTAAACTCGTTATTGCGATAAATATTATCACTCGATAGTCGAAAGGATGAGATACTTGCTCGGTAAGCAGGGAATCCAGGCTTGATCCATGAGGTGACATTTTTCGCAAAAAATAATAGGAGTTTTCACGATTGGTTCGTGACCGGGCTCCCGTCGTGACGCACATCCTCCCTTCTTACTTTGGGAATTATTTTATATTTCTTGTTATATATAGACGAATCTAAAACAAATCTGCTTTACAAATTATTTTTTTCTGTTATTCTCTAATGTTGTCTCATAATTTTAAGATAATACGAAAATGCGGCAGTCCTAATTACTGCATCCGAATTCAAATAACGCTTTTTTTCGCGAGTAAAGCACTGTCGAATCTGTACAAATAGTATAAAAGCGATGTGGCTATAAAAGCGCATTTAGCAACGTTATATTTATATTAGAGGCTCCTTGATCGTTAGACATGTGTTAGGTTGTTAGATCGTTTGCTGTACCAAAAAAAAAAAAAAAAAAAAGAAAAGGCATAAATAATACCTATATTTAATGTGCTAAGATTAACAAGAAAAGAATTATGAGGAATGTTAAATGAAAGCGAATCATTGAATTACTGCATATTATGGAGTTGTTATAAATTAAGGAAGAACAAAGGTGCGTCAAAGGCGATATTCTTCTGCCGACACGAGCTGCACTTCCCGCTGATTATTTATATTCCTTTAAATTATCTTTTGAATTACTCGATATTTTTACGTAGTCTTGTTTAAATATTATGCTATTGTTTATTGTGCGTACCTCGTAAAGATACGAGTAGTTTACATCGCGCGATATGATTCTGTGTCCTACAGAAAGACAGCTAATTGCGTCCATTTAGCTGCCTCTTAATTTAAGTAGCTCAAGTAGCTCACCTTCGACTCGCTGACTGCCTTGTTAGGAAAATAACTCGCCGTTTCGTTCGACCTGCTGTGATTTCAGCGAAGCGTATCGACTGAATCTCGTCACTGCCGCAGCTACATTCCAGGAAGTTTATTGTTTATTGTTAAGCAGTATATACACTATGAGGAATCATTTGCATCACACGTTTGCATACACGAGTGTCGTGTATAGCGAACTTCTCATGCTTTTTTTTTATATTATATAAATATTTTTTATCCAGAGAGTAAGAATACACATAGACTACGCAACTCTTGGTTCTCGTCGAGAGAAATATGATATCGGAGATGAAATAGACTGCCATCACGATTCCTTCTTACGATGCCACGTGCATCATCGCGCCGAGAACAAAACAGAATTGAAGAGTTCGTTTCCAAAACATCCGGGATTTTCGAAGTTTTTTATCTTCGACATAAATATCAAAACGCTTTGGAAACAAGTCTCTTGATTGATGCTCTTCCACAAATATAAACACATACACAACATGTACACATACATACAAGCGTTTTTATATTGTATATTTGTATTCTGTGTAAGTAGTGCCGTACACAGATATGCAGAGTTTTTACAAAAAAGAAGAAAAACATTTTAATAAGTAAATAAACGCGTATGTAACGCAAAATGAATCAATATTGATGTTGATGACAATATTGCCAGGTGCAAGATCGTAGACTAAATAATAATAATAATAATAATTTTTGTGAACTTTGTAATATTTATTATAATTTCGTTCATCAAATTAATAACTTTTAGTTTTAATCGAAAATGCCAAGAACATTTTGAAAAGAAAAGGGAGAATTCAAGTTCGACATTTGGCTTTAATCTCTTTTTTTCGCAATATCAATTTTTTATTAATGAAACAATTATTTCGCACATGACCTATATTTGTTTTGCCATCTAGCTTATTTTTTAAATTTATATAATCTGTAATTTCTTGCTTTATTCGAAATGTCTCTGGGAATCAACATAATCAAAGCTTTTTTTTATCTTTTTACAAACACACTATTCTCGATAATTTGAAAATTTGATTCGATAATTTACAAAAGATTTATGCTTTTTTGTGAAAATTCTGGATTATCTTATCGGTGTAATAAGCGCGTATGCGTCTGTGACCAACAAGGAAATTTACTGCCACTACATATGTACTCACTGAGTTCGTACATAGCACTGTCGACATCGACGTAAACCCCATTCTTTGGCAATCGCTGCAAATATACAGCGATCCAATGCCATAACTCGTGCGAATCCTTCCAGCAAATGATCGGTGTAATGATTTTTTGTAAATAATCGATAACGTATCTTTCTCTCTCTTTTTCACGAGTCTCTGTATCGCTGACAATACCGTTTATATACCTATATTTCTACCATATTACATAGTAATATGATATACCGTACGGATCGCTCTTTCCGTTGTAGACTCTAATCGTGTCACGCTGATTCCAATAATCGGTCTAATTGTACCACAAACACCTCGAGGAAAAGTATGAAACTCTATCCCGATGTGCAAAAAATAAACAATCAATTTCGTATTACTCTGGATTACTTTCTCTACCTTGTTGCATCTTGTATAGAATATCTATAGACATTTTCATTCCAAAAAGGATTGACTGTCATCTAAATTAAATCGCAAATTGTGAAGTTGTATATGTTAAATTAATTATTTAAAAATTTTAATATAGGGATTAATCAGAGACATTATCATACATAGTTATGTCTTGCATCATAAGTATATTTTCTTCAATTATATGTGTCTCTATTCATCCTTCCCTCTATCTATAGAACTAATCTAAAATAATTCATTAGTTTTTTTTTTTTATTAAAAAGCAGATTTGATTTGCATGTCTTGTATATACATTATTCCTTACGCTAATTTATATGTATACATATACATAAAACGTCTTATGATACGATGCTCAGTGCAAGTCTCTAGTCGTGATATTATGATAATACATGTCTTTGGTATCCTCCTTTCTCTCGTAAGTAGTTGTAAATAATTGAGACGTAAATGTGCAAAATATGGAACGACTTCTTTCACCGAAGTGACTAGCCTCGCTCAATTCGGTTCTTGCCTCCTTAATACGTTACGCAATACATCGTGTTTATGTCGCAATAAAAAATATCTTGATAGATATTATAAATTCTGATTAAGATCTTTTCAAGATATTTTATGCAAACTGTGTGTGTGTGTGTGTGTGTGTGTGTGTGTGTGTGTGTGTGTGTGTGTGTGTGTGTGTGTGTGTGGTGAGAGCGCGCGCGTGTATATCACCTAGCGTTTAACAAGCAAGAACAAAAATACATTAACTGTACATTAACTGATACTCTATACAAATACTGATGATATATCAAGGAGAATATAAATTATTATTACGCTTACTAATTATTGCAATTTAACTTTCTATATGCATTTGGAGTGAACACTTAGGGACACACCTTTTCTAAGAAAAGGAATGCTTTTGTGAATGATATCGATACTTTAAACGATTCCTTAAGGGTGAGTCTCCAGAAAAGAATCACTTAAATATCTCTCTTAAATTGAAAGTATAAAGGAAATATATAAAACATGATTCAGATAGTATTAAAATTTTTTACATTTAGCAGAAATACCATTTTGTTAGAGGAAACAATGATTTCCGAATATTAATAATAATGAAAGAAATCATATTTGAGTAAGTTTTTGTCCTCTGGTATTACCTAAATTACGTTCTTTGTATCACTTTGCATATTTTTAAATTCAAGAGAGCTATATAACTGTTCTATTCTTATCGACTCGGTTTGTATATTATTATCGTCCACTCTTGTTATACTCTTGTGTTACAGAAAGTACTGAAGATACACCTTACATTCTACATTGTCATTTGCGTGAAATGATAATGATAAAATTGATAACAATCAAAACGCGTCCTTTATGTTCTGAAACTGTCGTACGGCCAAATCCACCGGCAAGTCGAACTTGTAATTGGTAAGGCGATCCAAAGTGTGAAATGCATCCTGGAAACCTGAAAATCTTGCCATGAGAAATGAAATTTCATTTTGTTTTTTTCATTGTGACGTACCTGTTTTTACAACGTAGCTCCATGAGAGATAATAGTTTTCCAGAAGGTACTGGCATTGTAGGATTAACTTCAGCCATATTACAAGTTTATTCGCGCTAAAATACGACGGTTATTCAATAAATTAAATTATTCGTAATTAACAATCAGGTATATGATAGACTACTTGTTAGCTTGACAATTGTTATTACTTACTTCAGAGCTGCGCATACAAACGCCTTGAAATGCGAATCGTAACTTCGTTTGTATGGACTATGAGAAGCAATGATATTGCCTATAGTCGTCAGTAAGCTCTAAGCAGCATAAAAGAAGAAACATTAAAATGTATGAAGACAATACAATAACAATTAAGAGGTTGCAGAATGTCTGCAGGGTATCTCAGAAATTGTTGTACAATCGAGGAAGAGAAAAAAATGATCTTTGGAAACTATCATAATGATCAAAAATGTATTCGTATATATTTTCCGTTTCATTTTCTTTCATCGATTGTTATTATAATTTCCTGGATACTCTGATCTTTTCTTAGAGGCGAGTCTTCTTCTACCTGTTTCGAGGAAGCTATTCTTCCGGCTGCAAGATCAAGATTGAAGCTCTGCGACAACTTCTGCGCGGGGCTGGAATTGTAACGGCGTCCATTCTTAATCTCGTAGTATTTCAGTATCAGCTCCCAGGCATGCATAAAATTCGCCGACGTGACGTCGCGTTGCGGGAAGCAACCGACGAACGGCACCACGCTGGAAGCGGCGCGCAGCACGTCCGCGGTCAAACCATGCTGCATGAGATCCCTGACCGAGGTGGCGAGGTGTTTTCTCACGGCGGACGTAAGCTTCGCGTTCGCGTGCGATGCCGAGTCCGAGTCGGACGTGTAGTCGTTTTCGTTGTCATCGATATCGTCGATGTCCTCGTCCTCGTCGTCGAGGTGACGTTGCTGCTGCTGCTGCTGCTGCTGTTGCTGCGACAATTCTGTAATAGTTTCCAACACGTGTTCCACGGCGATGTCCAATCTAGTGCGTAGGTCGCGCCAATTATGCACGGGATTCTTCTTGCTATTACTGCCAAAATTCCGACGTACGCGTTCGCTGCCGCAACCTAATTGCGACATCAAAAACATATGCAAAAGCGCAACCACTTTGCGCACGGTGTTTAGGGTCCTGGTTTGATTAGTGGCACTCGCTTCATCTTCGACGGGTTTCCCACGATCGAAGCGTCGTTTGGATCCGTAAGAGGACGACGAAGTGCCACCAGCGTGTACCGGACACGCACATGTACACGCCAGGGTCTCTGTGCTGACCTCGCCTTGAAGATAATTTATGAAACGCTCCAGATCGGCGATCTGCGTCTTCAGCTGAGAGACCAATTGCTCCTTCATCTTCAACGGGCTAACAATCTATTATAAAATAGATATAATTGCTTCAAATGGACAAACAACATATTGTGCAGTTTGCTTTAGAAACATTAAAAATTCTTTGTATCACAGCTTATTAATTTGAACTTTTTTGGTTTTTGATATCGAATATGTAATATGTTTGTGAGTAAATTTCAAATTAGAAAGAATTATATCAAAATCTACCGTAAAATCAAATTGAGTGCTTTTTAAGAAATTTAATCTTTTTTTTTAGAAAATATATATAGTTTCTTTTATATTTTCGCGCGATTGATTACTTGAAAATTATTGACCGTGAAAGTCTGTGCTCCAAATTGATGAAAGAATATCCGGTAGTTCTGAAACTAATAGTAAATATAAATCTCTCTCGCTTTATACATACTTGACTTATAGCGTAATCAACTTGCCATCTGAGATCGTCCGCTGGTAATTTACACAGATCGTCGACGTTAAAGTTCAATTTTTCTTTCAAGTGACCTGTAAGCATTATGTTGATGTTACTTTCTATTCTTTTGCAATAGATGGTTACAATTATTCAGCACTTACTGATTATGATATTTTGTCTTTCCAAAATAATGCTCTGCGGTAGATCGGCGTCGCCCGTCTCATATGCGTACTTTTCCAGATCCTCCAGCTGGGATTTCAACTGACTTATTAATTCTCTCTGTTTTGTCCGTTGCAATGCCATTTTCGATTCAACCTCTGCATCCGTAATGACACCAGTCACCTATGTTACACCTATGTTACATACGACTAAAGAGCTAACTGGCTAATCAGACAGCTATTACAATTAAACAAATAGTTATGGAAAAATATTCCTTTGTTACAATCGCTATTGCGCTGCAGCTGAAAAAAGATTTAGAAAACTGCGACAAGCAACGGCAAGCGTTTAATTACCCACAACAATCCAGACCGATCAAGTATGGAGCAAAGGATCGGATATGTGTAGGTAATAAAATAAAATGGAGAAATAGAAAAAAATGTCAACTTTTATTACACAAGGATAGTATAAAAATAAAAAATAATTTATATTTTACATAAGCAAATAAAATGATAAAAATGTGTAATAGACATAACAAATAAAAATATAAAAATGACTAGATATAAAACAAATAATGAAACAATGCATTAAAGCAACAAAAATTTGCTACAAAAAGCCACGATAAAATCACAAAGATACTTTAAAAGTAATAAAGAGTAAAAAAGTCGTTTATGTTGAAAAGTTTGCGTTCTGTGGCTTACACTTGGATCACAGGACATGGGAGAGATTGGTGTGACAGATCCGCTCTCTAACAGTAAGCTATTCGGTACATCTGGTATTCCCCTAAATGCAAATTCTTCCAACTCTTTAAGTAGCGTCTCCTTTTCACTGGTTGGTGCATCTACAATTTGTCGTAAACGAAACTGAACCTGAAGATACAAGGATTAATTAATATTATTAAGTAAACATCAGTAAGTTCATTTTTATCCTTTTACCTGAGCAAAGTGAGTGGTTAATGCTATCAGAGATGAGTTCAACATTTCTTGTTCCTCCTCCAACATCTTTACCCTCTCTATGTCATATGCGAGGCTGATAACAAAAATTATTTCATCTGTAATTCTATAATTATTACATTTATTTTCGAGAAATATTTGCTTTTAATATATATAAAATGAGACAAATAAAATTCTCGTAGAGCGACTGCAATACATAACGGTAAAGTTTATGTTATCCTTTCTACAGGCATATGTTAGGGAGAACAGAATTTATTCTAGTTTTCGCGACATGTGTATTTTTGGAAGAAAACGATAAAACCGAGTACTCGTAGACGTACTTTTCCACATTGGCGTTGACGTATTTATACTCATCCGCGAACTCATTGTCGCCGTCGTTGGCGCCAACCGGAGCCCATCTCTCCCCAGATGGTCTGCTGTCGCTGCTCTCGTCCGAGTTCTCGATCTCGTCGCTCTCGCTGAGTGTTGCTCGCGGATGTCGTCGCTCGCCCTCCATCGTCGTCTCCTTGACATTATCGCCCGTCGCTTCGCCTACTTCCTGCCTCGACAAGGAAACAATACACTGGCATATTGATCTGCGGACTGCGGTTGTGTGTCGTGAGCGCAGTGCGCTCGCGATTTTCGCATGGCACGGTCACGATATGTGGTCATTTACGTACCATGACGATGACGCGCTCCAGTCGCGCGTGCCTCGTCCCGCGATCGCCCAGAGATCGAAATGACTGAAACTCGAGCGTCTAGATTCCTGGCTCCTCTCTCATGCCTGCGATCATTATTAATTTTTTTTTTTTTTTTTTCCCCCGGTTTGGAGGACGTCGGGAGCTCCCGACTATGTGTCTTCAACCCTGAGGTTATATGACACAAATTTATCTGATTCCCCTCTTAGTTTCTCTGTAACCTGTATTAAATGATTCTATTAATTTTTCTAAAGAACTTGTAAATACACTTCAACACCACCCAATCCAGATCTCTTATTGCGTCCATGATATTAATCTCTTCCCTCACCCCCATTCCCCCTCAACCTCCCAAGTCCATCCCCACTCTCTCCTCGTCATACCTCACAC